GGGAGTGAAGGTGTGAGCTACAGACGGAGCCAAGGAGAGAGCATTCCCAGCCAAGGGAAGAGCAACTTCCAGCCCTAAGGCAGAACATGCTTGGTGGGTTTGAGCCTCCAAATCCATCAGCCCAGCAAGAGCAAGAAGACCCGTATGGCCAGAGAAGATGGGGTCTTGAGGGACAGGGTAGATGTCTTGACTTTGTCGTGCCTCAGTTTCCTAATCTGAAAGTAGAGCTGATTTAGTACCACCTTCTGAGGAATTATTGAGCTAGACCACGTAAAGAACTTGGAGTTGTTAACAATGATCAAAATTATTATTTTGCCAGAGACTTGATACATGGTAACTGCAGTGATTACTCAGCATCTTCCTTTAAAGTTCCTTGCTAACCATTAGCTCTGAGGTCCCATGCCTCTCATGCCCCAGGCCCTGCCTGAGCTCTATCCCTTTTGCTCAGAACGTTCCTCTCTCTAGCTGGTATAAGCTTGGGCAACCTTGGAGTTTCAGTTAAACCTTGTGTTTCTGGGAAACCCCCTAGATTGTCCCTAGTGGAGGTAGGTGGTCTAGTGTCTTTCTCCACCTCCCCTCTCGTTCGCATTGAGTGCACTGCAATGCAACCACATGCTCAAGAGCTCCCTTCCCTGTGAACTATTCAGTATGATGAGGCCAAGGGCTGCGTCTGATTCCCAGCTCTATCCCCAGTGTGGACTTTGTGTAGGTCATTTAAGCATATGCGTATTTAGTGCCTTTATAGGAAGTTCTTCACTTTGCATTGAATAGTATTTATTGTGGATGGATGGATGGAAACATGCATACTAGAGAAATTTACTTCTAACAGGGCGTGTTCAATAAGATTATCTTACAATATTGATGAAATATGAAGTGCCACACAAACTCTTTTATGCTGAGACCATGGATTTCATCAAGGAAAGTCCCCAAGGCGGAAATGTATTATTAAACTTTGAGAACTTTAAGATTGGAAGGATTCCTTTTCATCATTTAGTTAAATGTCCTCAATTAACAGAAAGAGGAAGCTGAGGATCAAAGAGATTGAGTCACTTGCCAAAGTCACCCAGTTCCTTTTGGTGAGGGCTGGAACTGCTAACCTGGTACTCAGATGGGCTAGTGTTTGATTTCAGAGTGTGCTTGGCATGGTCCACTCCTAGGATCCCAGGATTCTAACGTTGAAGCACTCTAATAGATTGTGGGTAGATACCTTGGATGCTGTGCAGGGGGGGTGAGACTGAAAGACTGGGTTCTTTGGGTGGGTTTACATAGATTTGATGCATTTTGTGGAAAGGAAATCACTACTTTATGTATATAGCTTCTCAACCTTTCAGCTCAGCTGAACACTGACAGAATTTGAATTTCTGGTCAAACAGTGCTATGATCGGCTTAGCAGATTTTCCCCCCATCCACGAAGTCCTAAAGTAGCAAGCTTGATCTGAAAACAAATTATTAGTAAACATTTGAAAGTGAGAAACAAATTATTCCCCACTTAGTTCCTTCCTTCAAATACACACTTGAAAAACGCTAAGACTCTATTTCGTGAGAATGCTTGAATCTCTTCCTAAATCATAACACGGGTAAACTTACTGAAATATTTTTACAATTTTATTAGAGGTTTTAATTCACTGCTTTATCTATCTCTGTTAGACTGCAAAATAGCTTTAAATATTCAAGTGGTAATTAATGAATCTTTTATGTTGCAAATCAAACATTTTCATCTGTGCGCTGGTAGAGTAGCAGTGAGGAAGGATTTAAAGAATAATTGTTTCTCCCTATTCCATGCCGTTGACCAGCATTTACCTTACGTTGTGGGAGGCATGGGGTTTGTGTTCTTGCCTAGCGGGGTGAAAGCTCACTGTGGATGACGCCTGCTGTCTTTTGGAGGTCAGGGTTTCTTGACATGTTTCTTGCCAGAGACATTCCCGACTAGATGGAAAGTCTTTTGAATATGGAATTTTTGCTTGAGTGCAAAATAATAAAAAGCATGTGTATGTTAAAAAAGGATCAGCTTAATGGCAAATGAGCATTGGCTTACATTAATATTCTATTACAGTAAAAACTTCTATTTAATAAATTTTCTCCAGACTTTTTTCCCCCAGAATCTCACATATTTTTCTAAGTGGCATGCCAACCTAAAGAAAGTATATACGATACGTTTGATTTATGTTAAGTCAATAGCATGCAAAAGCCATTTAAAATTGTATTTTAAGTGTAGAAATATAAACCCAAGGAAACACATATAGTACCATATACTGAGAAGAGTAAAGTGTTAGCTTTTCAGGAGCTAAAATGCCTTGTAAATATTATTCTATTTAGAAGATATTTTAAAAATGTGGTGTTTTATGTCAAATGGTATGATGAAGCAAGTCTGAAGCCCTGAACCCAAAAGCAAGCTGGTACTGAAGACTTCACGTAACAAAAATAGTTCTTTCCTCTCCGTCACTAGTGAGAAATGAGCCAGTGAGAGCCGTCCTTGAGAACGTCCACAAAGGACTGACAAATTCTTAATTGGAAGCCACATGGGCCACCTCGTGTTGTTCTACAGCCTTTATTAATACTGGACTTGGTGACATCTATGTATCAGAGCAATAAGCTAAACAGGAAACAATTTATGTCACCTAAAGCTTTTTAACAAATCGATGCAACTATTGGTAATTGCTTGTTTCACAAGATTAAAAGTGCTAAGGCCTGATCTTCGCCCACGAATGTGTGGTCAACATGACCCGTGCTTCCGTTATTTGAAAAAAAAAAAAAACCAAGAGTTGGTGATCAGCACCGACTTCCATCAAGTAATCCATATTGCTAATATTTCTGGAATTTTAATGTAGTTGCAATTTATAGCCGATCAAATGTGGTTACCTAAATTGCTGTTGCTAGTAGACAGTTTAACTGTCTTTATTAATTACAGTATAATTTAAGGTTTGAGTACTGGCACTTGTGTTGGTCATTTTTACAGCGAGAGCAGTTATCTGCCTTATGACGAACCATTTTAGCATTTTCAATGGAAATTTGCTAATATAATGAGTGATAAAAATGTCACACGCTGGTAAATAATGATTATTGCTTTGGCTGGAATTAATTCTTGAAAGGCCGGTTACCTTCACATTAACATTATAACTTGAAGCTTGTCTTTTTCCCTCACTATATTTTCAATATAAGCCAAAAAAAAAAAGGACCGTTGATCATTTCAAATGGATACATATATTTTGGTATTAAGCATCGAATGTCATTTTACCATCAAAGTAGAAATAAGCCAACATAGGATTTTGTTTTTTTAAAAAATAAAATACTGTTTAAAAATAAATATAAGTAGGTCATATCTAGAGTGATGGCTTTCTAATCCAAATATTGTCCCACAGTTAAACCACTGTTTTTGTATGTAATTTAATTTCCCTCCGATGTGAATTTTGTCTTAAACCTTTCATCAATCGGTCAATTCCTTACGTGAAGGTTTGAGACCCAACGTCACTTTATTTGAATGAAGGATACTTTTATTTGACTCAACTACAATGAAGATGAAAGAAACTGTGATTACCCTACATATACATATGCAATATCAAAAAAGACAAAACCTAGAAAGAGAGACTGTATTTTGTTATTATCTTCTTTGGGGGCTTAGGGGGAAGTTGTTACCTGTGTTGGTGTTAGTCTTAGGAGTTTTATGCTCTTATATAAAGGTCCTCATTTAAAAGAGTCACCATTTTGAGTTTGCTTTCTCATTTATCTGAGTGACAAGCCTGAAATAAACATGCAAGAGTGTTCCTGCTTGCGACGATTCCTGAAATACAATTAAAAATGTACTGTGCATCTTTACTAACATTTCATCATCCTTGGGTTCTCCAGTTTATTAAAATAAATATGTACACTTGTCATTTTATCAGCTGGATATGCTGTAAGCAGTATTTAAGTTTAAGCCTGGCAATTAAAGGAATTTCAATTAACCCTAGTATTATATTTATTAGCCAGGTGAGACTTAAGAGTTCAAATGTTTTACTAATTATCAGACTAGAGGGTTTCTAGATGTGGCATAATTGTTCATGAAAAGAGGACAGTAGTTTGCAGCTTAGTAGCAAAAGCTACTTGTTAAAAAAAAAAAGCACCAACTTTCTTAATATGGGCTTTTCAAAACAATGCCGGGAAAGAACGATGACACGTTCCTCCGCGTCAGTGGCTGTTTTGTGAAACAGAGTGCAAGGTTAATTTCAAGTCATCTCTGGGCTTGCATTATGTGCTCTGAATTATATATGTAATGGTTTTATGTTACCATGGTTTGGTCACTTAAAATACTACTTTCAATAGACTGGCAATTTAATTTTTACTGAAAGATGACACTCGAATTCATTAATCCTTAGAATATACATGATAGAATAATATTAAAAAGAAACAGCAAATTTTTCTAAAGGCATGCAACTTAAAAAAAAAAATCTCAAAATCAAGATGGTTTTTCTGGAGTATTTAGGTACTGAATTTGTTTTCTTCACTGAATCGTTATCTAGAGTACTTTTGATAGAATATTTTTATAAAATCATTTGTTCTAATCTAAGCATTTATCATTATATGCAAAAAGATTTCTTGATGAGAATATTATAGACGGTGCATGTTTTTGACATTAGCATTTTATTTGGATGACTAATCTTGCAGATGTGAAATTTGAATGAATTATTCATGAAACTGCTTTCCTCTGAAATTTTAGTTTGCTCTCAATGCTAGTTATTAAACATTTTGTTTTTCTTTATAAAATTTGATGAAGAGAAATAAGAGCATGCTTCCTCAACAGAAAAGATGGCATCTCTTTTTTTCTCCCCAATTCTCTAAGTGGATACTTTCACTTGGAAATTTTGAGGATAAGAGCTTCAGCCCTCCCTGATGATGAAAGCTTTTAGTTAAGATTGATTTAGTTCTGCATCGGAAGCAGCTGGTGATAAACCTAAGGCATATGCCTTACACACAATATCGGCAGGTCAGGAGGGGAAAGAAACTTAGGCTGTGGCGACTCTTACTACCAGTGTGAACAACCAGCATTTTTATTGCATTTGAGAATGCTATAATGTCAGTAATTAGTACTGACTACACAACATTTTTTTTATTGTCTGTATCCACAGACATGGAATGATGGAATTACAGTTGATGTCAAGGAATGAGTTCTTTTATGCCTTATCAAAACAAAACAAAACAAAAAAATTCTTGTTACCGGCAGCACATACACACGAAGCACCATGCTCACAGTCCGGACTGTACCATCTTCATCAAGGCTTATGGGTAGCAGAGATTGTGTGAGCTACACTGGGCCCAAGAAATGCCTTTCAAACTGGAAATCTGATTCTCAGGATAAAAAAGCAAAACCGACTTTGAAAATATCCAAAATATCAGGCGGGTATGCCATTCACCAAAAGGTACCAAAAAGATTCAAAATCCATACAAGCACATTCTTCTTTGTGCCCTTGGAAACGGCGCTCAGCTGGAATGTGGAAAGAAGTATTTTGTAACTCTATTTTTTCATGATAAAAAAGCTAGTGATCTACATCATATCTTGGGTTAAGAATCCAAAGTTTTCTTTCCTAGGTCTGACAGGATGCTGGAAATAGCGTTAGAGCTGTCCGAAGGTGGCAGGCCTGGTGGTCACTCTTTGTGTACATACATAAGCCTTGAGAGTCCATTTTGCTGCTGTCCAGTGTGGCAGCCTAACTCATCTTATATGACAGACTCTAGGGACAGGGAGGGTGGGTCCTCATTCCTAACAGTGCATTTGTCTGACACATGGGACTACCTCCCTAATGTACGCTTTTCTTTGAGAAAAAAAAAAGTAACAAATTTTTCTTTACATCTTGGCACCTTGTAAAGTTTTTTTTTCTTTTTTATACAAAAGTTTAATAGTTTTGACACTCCCCGTTAGTAATCACTACTTCACTGATAAACTTTGAAAGTGTGACCCTGGAATTTCATCATGCAAAATATTTACTGCAGCAGGAGAAAACATTTTTTTAAAACAACACTTTTTTTTCTTTTCAAATGTATGAACTTGTTTAAGATAGCCAGGAAGGCAGTGGTAGGATAAACACAAGGGATAGGAATGTATCAAAAAACAGATTAACGCACGCACACGCACACACACACACACAAAACCTGTACAAAATGCTCCAATCAATGAGAACAGGAAAAAAAAAAAAATCTGTCAACTATGTTACAATTTAAAAGAAAAAAAAAAAGTTAGGGAGTTTCTCCCTCCCACATGTCAGAAAATGTCATCCAATAGTCTTAAAGCAAGGAGATAACTAAATAAAATACATGTCCAGCAAATTCTGCAATTCCATTACATACAGTAGTTTTTTTTTCCAAAGCTGTTTTTTTTGTTTTTTTTTTTTTAGTATCGTTAATATAAAGCAGTTGCACAAAAAGCAAAGGTGTTTTGACAAACAGGTGTATGCATTTATTCCTTTTTAGGAACAATATCTAAAAAAAGAACCGCCCTCCGCCCTCCCCCAAAAAAGACAAAGATTCACACAGACACATCGGGATATATGTACAACATAATAAACCCCATCCTAAAGAAGCGACTGGAATACCCCCGAGGGATACAGAATCAGAACTGTAAAAATCATAGTGAAGTTTGCTTGCTGTTAAAGCCTGAGAATTTTTTTTTCAGTTGGTTCTTGTGCAAGGCTGTGATACCTGCAAAGATATGTAAAATCTAATTTTTCTTTTTTTTTTTTTTTGCTACAGTCTTTAGACTAAGCATGCAAGACATACGACTAAGTGCAACTGAGTGAAATGTATTTTTTTTTTAATTTTAATCATTCCCTAAAGGTTTGAACTGAGGTATGCGTACTAACAGTTTCTCATGCTGTTATCTTTACTCATGTCTAGCTACACATGCTGAGAATGAACTAATCTACCAGATTTTTATCCTCTTTTGAATACCAAACTAACCAGCAACCACTCAGTTTAGAAGCACAGGGCCCCCTTCCCATGACCCTGTCTGGCTACTGCTGCACATCATGAAGCTGCCTGGAAAAGTTTAAAAAAAAAGTCTTGCGTGACCACAGACTGCCCTTTATACAGAAAGCAGAGTGAAGCTTCAAAAGTAACTGCCAGAGAAGTTTTTGTACCAAGCTTATGAGTGGACGGGAGTGTTACTTTGAAAAAAAATTAAAAATGCTGACCAAAGCCTAATCAGAAAAAAAGGAACAAATTAATAACAAAACAAAACAAACTGGAGGATATATGCCAAGATAAACCAAAATTAATGCAGTGATCATAGCACAGCCCTTAAACAAAAGTGGCATATAATTTTTCTAAAAAATGTTTTTATTCTAGAAATACTATTATGTGGTCTGGTTCCATTGCGGAAGCTTTTCTGTTCTGACTCTTATCGTCACTGTCTCCTTTACTGGATACTCTAATTTCAGTGGCATACGTTCAGTTTTTTTTTTTTTTTTTTTCTTTAAGATGGGACTTCCATCTGTGGCTCCTTTAATACTGTGTCTTGTTTTTATCTGCAGTAGCCCCATAAATTGCTCGTTACAAGAATGAGTTTTGGTCTCTGTAGAGGTACTGGGAAAAAAAAAAAAAGAAAAAATGAAAACAAAAACGACCAAGAAAAAGTAACAACTTTGGTTCCATTATCTACTTGGCTTTCTAAATTTACTCTATGATGAAGGAGCAGTTCTCTTTCTCAGGTTAGCAACAGCCTATAGCTTGTCATTTGCAATTCTCTTGCCTCCTTTGATCAACAATAAGAGGATATTTGGCTTCATCAGATAAAGCATAAAACTGAGAACATAATTTACCTTTGTGTAATATCTTTGGTAATTTTAGGAAAAAAAGGTACAAAGAATATAAATTAAGCTTTGAAAGGCTCTCAAACTAAAATAAAAGCTACAGTCCTAGATAAATAAATGACAGGAAAGAGGGTGCAGAGTGGAGGTGTCAAGGGGTTCTGAGGACTGAGGTTGTCCTGACCGAGAACCATCGCCTTTTGCATACCATGTTTGGTTCCCCAAAGCCCAGGGCCTATCTGATGTCTTCTACTGTTAGTTTTTGATACTGGGTTGGTGTGATAATATTGCATAACAAACTGAACTGCAGTACCGAATTTGCACATTTGAAATGAACACTTTAGCATTTGCTGAACTCAGTCCCCATTAACTCTCATAACAAGTTCAATCTGAAATCTAATTTGCATTCAAACGGGTTAATGCCACCAAGCATGTCTGAACTGATGTACAAACTCAGAGCCTCCACTGCCACCACTTTCAGCAAAGTTGCTCAGGGAAGCCAGCTTTTTTGGCCATTTTGCAAACAAAGCAACCCACACTGGTTATAACAATGAACAGCCCACGGCCCGCGGCAACTTGATTACACAAGGGAGAACCTTCATGACCATATTGTCAGTCTAATTAATATAAGAATATTTTTTTGGTGCTGCCTATGTTTCCTTGTGCTGGCAGAACGCTGTGGCATTTATTAAGAATGATGTTTGCTGCAAAAAAAAAGGAAAACCGGAAACCACCCCCTAGCCACCCCCAATACTGCTTCATGGAATGAATCGCATTGTTCCTAGAGTATGTCTCTATTTTTTTTCTGTCATTCATTCTCTTTCTGGCAGGACGTCACGTCTGTGTGAGAGGACCTTCATGTGTAGAGTGCAGCATTTGGGACCTTTTTAAAAAGACCAAAACGGAATGTTTTCTGACTTTAGAGAAACGTGGTGATGTCTGAAGGAAGATGGAATGAGTGACAGAAAGCTACAAACAAGAAATGACATTCAGCTTTGTATAATAAAAACACCTATTAACATTCATCACAAGGTACAGAAAACTTTAAGCCTCCAAGAGGCCGTGGGCCCAAATGGAGGCCTGAGGTCAGAACTTAAAATGGTATAGTAGAAGGAAAAAAAAAAAAGCAATACATTAAAAAGTTTGGGATAATTATTTTTTAACCCCTCCCCCCAATACACACACAAAGGCCTTCCCCATCCCAACTGGAAGCAAAAAAAAAAAAAACAAAAAAAAACAAAATGGAGTAAAGGCAGTGATAATCAACATGCAGTACTGTGCAAATAGGTCGTCCATTGGAATCCTTAAATTCTGGGCAAAGGCTTGGTCTGCAGCTTAGGTGCACAAGCTCCGTCGGGCGTCCTCAGTGTCCAACGTTGGCAGGACTGCAGTTCAAAGTCTGCTGCTAAAAGTGAATCAGTTTAGCAAATTTACAACACTGATGTTGACTGTTAAGAGAGGAAAATCCCAAGTACCAAACAAGTCCATCCAATGCACAGAGTACAAATTCCTTTTTTCAACAAAAAGTAGAAAAATCAAAAATACTCCCAAATGGGATTCTTGATGGCACTAAGAGTTAACACATTTCAGAGTTGTCAAAATGTAGTGAAAATCCTCCAGACTGTACAACAAATGGAGAACAATTTCACTGCTAACTTTTGACGTGTTTCTTTTTTTTTTCTTTTTCCAATCTTCATTCTCAGGGTCGGCCTGCCCAGATATTCACTCCATGTCCTCATTTACTGGTTCGTCTTCGTAATCTCTGTCATGGTCAAAATCTGGACTGTGGTTGGCTGTTGTCACTAAGGACAGAGGCCCTTCAGCTTCCTCTGGATCGAGGGGCTCCTCTTTGACGTGTACAGGATGACTGGAAAAACAAGATAAAGGTTCAGTGAGGGTACTTCCCAGTCCAGTAAAACTCAGCTGTGCTGGGGCAACATAAAAGCCATGTTCTAGAACTGCGCTGCCAATACAGTGGCCACTAGTCACTTGCAGCTTAAATTCCATCTCTCAGTTGCACGGGCCACATTTCAAGTGTGTAAAGGCCACATGTGGTTAGTGGTTACCGTTCTGGACAGTGCAGAGACAGGACATATCCATCATCACTGAAAGTTCTTTTGGACAGCGCTGTTCTAGAATGGTTAATCACTGGACAGACATAGGCTTTGCCTCCCCACCTCAGTATCTTCCCTCATACTTTAATGTACACCCCAAACACCTGAGGACGACCTTGTTAAACTGCAGTGCATGATTCAGCAGGTCTGGGGTGAGGCCTAAGACTCTGCATCTCTAACAAGTTTCCAGGTGATGCTGCTGGTCCTAGGACCACACTTCGAGTACCATATAACAGGCCCCGCAGTGGCATTCTGGGTGGATGAATACCAATCTTCGAATAATTATGTGAAATAAGAATCTGTAATACAACGGCGGTTTGTGGGGACCACTGAGCACAGGAGGCTGGGCTAATCATGGCTTGCTGTGTGTTCTGCTTTGCTAGTTAACATGCAGAACCTGTGAGAGAACTCTCCAGAGGACGACCCCAAGCGAGGTTCTATCATTAATCAACTTCAAGCAAACACAGCAAAGAGACACCATGATACATGCTTGAAACTCCAAATTAATGCATATTTTTACAAACTGTCAATAAGGCAAGAAAAGCCCTGCCAGGAAACACAAACGAAGAGGAAAAGGCTCGCTCAACACAACAATATGATAAGAAAGCAGAGCCCCAATCAGAATAATAACGCTGTCAGCTGTAAACAAGGCAAAACATGAGGCCCGGCTGGTAGCGGCCACTGGGATGTGCGCAGCGGTGATGAGATCTGCCAACTTTCTCATTATGGACCCGTGCGTGGCTCACCCGAAGGGGACTGGGGTGATCACACAAAACCCCTCTGATAACAATTGAGAAATGTTGTTCGTAAATCATATTTACAACCGATCCTTTGCAAATACAAATTACTGATCCTTTGCAAATACAAATTACTGTCCGTGGCAGGGCTTTTGATATGTAAAAGAACCATTCAAGTTAAACTGGTCCCATCTCTGGGACAGACTGTAAAAGGGAGGAGTTTTTAATTGACATTATCAAGTATTAGTAATAAGAGGTGGTACTGGGGATAGTTGGCTTCCTAAATAATTGATGCTGTATGCAAACCCCAAAGGCCCCTTGAACCATTTAAAAACAAACAGAGGAGTGCTTGGGACTGCCCTCAAAGACATGAACCTTCAGAATCAATTGACTCTAAAATTAGCACACTGTAGAGAGAGTTTGGGGAGACAGATGTTAAATAAATAGCTTAAAAAAAAACATGCTCTTATTCTTAAAAACTATTTGCAAAATAAAATACAGCAAAGTTGCATTACAGTGCATTTTACATATGGCTCTCCATCTATTAATTTTTAATGGCCTTATTTCTCTGTGTTTCTGCAGTAAGACTTGGGACAGGCTGCAGAAATTGCAGAGCCCAGTGCAAAATGAAAATGCAGGGTCCCTGGCTAAAAAATTAAAAATTTTAAGACTGAAACAGCCGAGTATTAAAACAAGTGCATGCTGGGCACAGGGGGTGAGTCCCAGTTACTCTGGAGGCTGAGGAGGGAGGATAGCTTCAACCAAGGAGTTCAAGTCCAGCCTGGATGACACAGTGAAATCTCATCTCTAAAAAAAATTAAAAAGCAATAATAAAAACAAAAAAAAACTAAGTGCAGTGTCTTTTTAGGCATGGGGCTTTGTGACTGCGTGTCGCACACCTGTGACATAAGTTCTAGTAGAACTACCCACCACTTAAACTCTTAAGCTCAGTTTTCTTGTTTTTGCCTATCCCTTTTCATTTGGGGTCATATTTTTGCATACTGTAAACCCAGCAGGAATGCTATTTTTTTATTCTGCTAGATTTACAGTTATCATTTTTATGGCTAGTTGGGATTCCATTGTGTTGACATATGTCAGTGTCTTAATACTTGGCATTTTATGATTGTCTTTTTCCCACTCCCTTTTACTGTTTGTACACTACAGTGACCATTTTTTTTTTGAGTTGGCGTCGCACTCTGTCGCCCAGACTGGAGTGCAGTGGCCGCTCCCGGCCACCGCAGCCTCGACCTGCTAGGCTCCGGCGATCCTTCCACCTCAGCCTTCCGAGTAGCTGGAACTACGGGTGCAAGCTACCACGCCCGGCTAATTTTTTGATTTATTGTAGAGATGAGGTCTCGCTGCCCAGGCGGATCTTGAACCCGTGGGCTCAGGCATCCACTCACCTCAGCCTCCCAAAGGCGCGGGATTACAGGCTGAGCCACTGAGCCTGGCTACAGTGACCATTTTTATCCATTAATCTTTCTACTGTTGATTTACCTCCTTAGGATAAATTTTCAAGAATGGAATTGTTGGAGCAAAGGCCGAAACAACTTTATGGTTCCCATGATTTATTGCAATATTAATTTCCAAAGGGGTTATCAACTTAGACTCAATCTCATCAGCACCAAGCACTATTTTTAAAAAATATTTTGTTGCTTAGCAGGTATAAGGTAAGCTCAGGTTACCTTAAACTGCGTTTCTTGGATTAATGACAAGGGTGAACATTTCTCAATGTTTCAGGTGCATATTTTCAACTGTTGAAAGTTGTTACCTTACAAATTACTCCTTCTATCTCCACTGATGGCATGATTCTAGTAATGTCCATTGGAATTTGGCTGTATTTTCCTTAGTCATATATTAAGATTCATTTTCCAGATTTTCTGAATTTCATTTTTTAAAACTATCAGGCTTATTAAGCTTTCAGGTTTACAAACCAGAATGTGATGGTATAAGCTAATATTAGCCTTTGTGGGAAAGGAGGTTGGAAAATGTTTGACAAAATAGAACCACTGTAATGAAGTTCTTGTTTTAAAACTTTAGACTTTGACAAACCTTTTGCTAAGCTTAGCCAAAACAAAAACAACAACAAAATCAGATAACATGTAAGTCCCCCAACAAAACACAGTTCACAACACGAGAAAATAATCTGCTTATCCAAGTACCCTGATTTGATCAATACACATCGTATACCATGTAACAAAATATCCCATGTACTCCCACCATATATACAACTATGATATATCAATTTTTTAAGACCATAGAAGCAAAAAACAAAAACAAACAAATAAAAAAACGTAACCATTTTTCCTCTAAATTGGTAGCCAACATTCATTAAGATTATTTACCATCCCAAAGACAGATAATGATCCTGTCATGCCTGCTGGGTCCCCAACACATGCTAACTGGCTAGATGTACTGACAGCCTGACAACACAACCAGGTTGGAGAGTAAGGCTCCTTAAACTTCAGAGAAGTGAAATCCAATTTCAGGACATTTCTTGATATTAGCAGTTACCCCTGGGTGTGGCTAATGTAGTCCTAGGGGCATCCAGCGCTTCAAAGAATAAAACAGGATGGGTTTCCATGTAAGACACATTTTAGATAAGACGCAAACTATGTGAGACATGATGCTTCCAGACACTCACCGTGTCTCCTAGAAATCAGAGCTGCACCATGCACCTTCTTTTCCTAGCAGACACCACCCCCCCACCTCCCCCACCCTTTTTCTCCAACTCCTACTTCCGAAAGGGCTACCCATGAATAACTGTGCAAAACCACACATTTCCCTTCTCCTTACATCTGAGTAATTCCTTTGTTTAGCCACTCTGGGAACACAGGAGTTTTAAAATAAAGCTGACTGGTGTTTAAAGGCATTGTGTTCTGGGGGTGTATGCACAGCATGGAGTATTTTGCTTTGTAGCTCCTTTAGCTCCTATCAGGATAAAAGTCTAATGCCCCAAAGCCATAATTATGTGACTACTTTCTAGTGTTTCAAAGGAGAAACAAAATGTGGTGGTATCTGAGTGTCACCGAAAGGGTAAGAACGAAGAGTTCTGTTTCAACACTAGATATTAGCGAGGCTGCCTTCCTAACAAGGTCCTTCAAGCCGTGCCGTAAAGTTTATGACTTGATTTATTCCAATAGACTAAAACAGTTAAAAAACAATTTGCATCATAGCAGGGTAATGCACACTGGACAAGAATGAAAACTATGTCATTATAGAATTCGCTTAATGGAAGTATGAGGTCAAAAAGAGTAACAGTCTATGACACTGATAACAGAAACAGGGAATCTGCAGACATATAATTACATTTAGCAAACAGCATAAACCTGTGCGATGTGAGCAACACATTCTGATGTCTCCATGTAGATTTTCTTAAAAAGACAAACCAAAAAACAGTAAAAATCTTAATGTCATTCAAAATCATGATGATTGAGATACAATACCATTTTTGGTAATACTGGGGTGAATTCAAAGTTGTTAAACAAACTAACTGATTTTCTTTTGCACAGCAAAATTAGCATCACCCTAAATTGTTGTTTGTGGCTTGCATTCAGATATCTATCTCTTTTCTTTCTTTTTGTTTTAGCGGTCCTTTGTGTTAAATACCAGGAAGATGTATCAACTAAACGTTGGAGTTTGTACAGCTTATGAGAAATAGTATCTATTCCTTTCAATAACTTCAGACATTTTTGCTCTAATGACTATTGCTTGAAGTAGCTTATATACCAATTTACATTTGCTCTGAACTTCCTTAGTATCTAAGTAAATACTCCCGCCATGACAATGATTTAAAGATGAATATGAGTGTGATAACAATAAAGTCAGAAACACCAGGTTGCTTTAGAAAGGATGAAATACAGCAGCATCAGTGTGAAAGATAAACACATTCTTAAAATGTTGTGAAGTAAATGCTAAGATACTATTCATACAAATTAAAAATGATTATTTCCATCTTTAAAGATCCTTTTCAAAGCACTCTAGAGATGAAATTCAAATGCTAGAAAATCAAATTTTAGATTCCTCTGTACCCTCCAATTATGCTGGCAGATAACATTGTTTTCTTTGTCATTAGACGCCAATTCATTCTGTTCCTAATTGTTACAGGTTATCTTTTCCCCATTCCTATCACTCAAATTATCTTAAAATAATATGTTGGTCAGCAATTTAGAAAGAATGTGTACACAAACAGCCTATTCCAGGAGCTGACAGTATTGCAAACATTAAATGGGTTCGTCCCTTCAAGGGGGCAACAGTTTTACAGAAACTCACTAAAAGGGGAGAGACTGTCATTCCAGACATCTGCAAATCCATTCATTTGGAATAACGTGGTTTCTTTTCTGTTTTAAAACTTTTCCTGGGTGAGAGGAAGTTATAGTCACACCAGTTTTCTCCCATCACTCAGCTCAGCCAAAGGGGCATCATGGCCTCATGGCCTCGGCCCTTCCTGGGGTTTGCAGAGAGTCCTGGTGCTATTCACATTCAGCATGGGCAGCCGTCCGCCCAGCACTTCATTCAGTTATATGTACACTCATTATACTGCCGTCTGCTGCTATAATGCTCCTATTAATTTTCCTTTTGATATTTTAAGAGCAATCTATAAATCATGCTGCCTTTCATTTGTGCTATCATTAATGCTTGGTAACAATGCTGCGTTGTGGTGTTCATGGTTAAGCTTATCACACAACCAGGTAAACAAATATCTTTTCTCTCTGCTAGGTTCAGCACCCTCGGAAGTTGAACTGGAAACTTTCTCATAGAGAAGCATATTAGTTTCAGGAGAAAAAAGTAGTGTGGCTTAAATAATGGCCCGAGATGAAAAGCAGAGAAAAAAAGCAAATATGTTTCCCATTTTATTGCTGTGTGTACTTTAGGGCTGGATGAAGCCAACTGCTTTTCTGAAAAAGTTAGCAATAGTCCTTTTACGTACTAACTGAGCTAAACAATTTTAGAAGCACAAACTTCTACCTGGGTTCTGGGAAATCAGAAATGGCAGAAAACAAGTATGCAGAGGCCAGAGGAGGGCTTGTGTGCACAAAGAACAGGGAGACTGGGGTCTGAAAGGAAGGACCTTGTGGGTGGTCAATACTCACACGGCTTGCATAGGGGATCTGCCTGGACTGCTGTCACTCTCGTTGCTGTTGGTGTGCTCCATTGCCCCGTTCAGCTCTTCCCGTATGGCGCTGGCCAAGTTGCCCAGAGTGGGATTTCCCATGGAAGCGGTAGTGTATAGAGGTATACTATTCTCAGCCATTGAAGCCTGCCATCAACCAAGAGAAAAGTGATGAAGACACAGGGTATGCCAGATAATGAAACTACTAATTACGAGTGTATTCAATAATCTTCAGTTCCAGTTCATTGTAACATGGTTGGCAAATACAGGTTTCTAAGAGGTGTCGTAGGATTTTGCTTTAAAAGTGACTCTTAAAAGATCCTAGACAAAAAAATAAATTAATTAATTAATTAATAAAATAAAAGATTCTTGTCTCAAGTTTGGTTTTGGAGAGCTATCTAGGGTGACAAAAGTGCCCATGGGTAGGAAGGACTCAATTTGGTCCTCCTTGGTAGTCACATGGTTTGGACAAAGCTATCTAATATGAGGTTTATGTCGCAGAGTTTTTTTTTCTTTAAGAGGAACTGAATATTTCCAGATCACAGTGAAATATAATGGAATTTTTATTTCTTTATCCATTTTGATGACTCCACTATTGGATATCAGAGATTTGATGAGATTATTCTGGCTGCAGTGCCCAAACTTATGAGAACTTCCATAAACAATTACCTCTTAGAACCTATAGAATTGGAATCAATTTTTATCTACCCTCCCATCATTTCTGTTTTAATGATTTTTGAATCTGTTTAGTGTAGTTTGAGATAACTGGTTGAAAGTAACACCACATAATCTTTCAGACTCAGACCAATTGTCAGGGATTTTAGGACTAAAGAAAAATCTCTGGCAAAAGGAAGCCCTAAATCATATTTCACTTTGGTGTCTTAGTACATCGATATGAAAGGTGACAAAGTCACTCCAAATGAATGTCAGCAAAAAAGTGAGGAAATTTTAAAAAAAGAAGAAATCATATACTCTATGGTAGGATACCATTCACTTCCTATCCTGCTGCATTTGTAAAGAAGGGTCACCCAGTCTGAAATGCAGACAATAGTTCCAAATAACACTAGACTCAAGTATCCATATTTGTTTCATCTGGGTGGTGATCATGACCCAGTGACTTTTCATTTTATTAAAGAGGACAGACTTTCAAAAATTGGTCACTGTAATTAGACCAAGATTCATCAAAACTGTTCTCCTGCAGACTATACTAAGCCTGCTTTCCCATCCTAATGAGAAAAAAAATACAACCACAAGATAATCTGGCATGGTGACTTCCACTGGCCAGTCACACGAGAGCCCAAACTGTTCTAGAAATCCAGGTTGTATAGTGAAAGAGCCAAAAGTGAAGAGAGACAGAGTGCAAATCTGGGTGGTAGAAAGTCTGCTTAGGGTAACAATTGCAGCCTCATCTATGGTACAAACCCCAAAGCCAGGGCTTTTTAGGTACAAGTCATGTACACACTCACGTCACATAGCATTGGCTAGTGGGCTATTTCAAAGCCAGCCTCGACACAAGCCCACAACTTTCCCTTCCCTCCACTTCTGAATTTATATAACTGCCTTCTTTTAAAAAACAGGGAAAATATCCCTGTTTTTATTTCCAAATGTGGTGAACTCATTGTGATGAACAGCAAATCTGAACACTGTCCACTCTCCTCCAGCGTGTCAAATAATTTGCATCAAGTACTTTTTTCAACAGATCTCTAATAACTGCAATAGAGCATATTTTTCTTTTTTTGGCAAAGCACTTGCCAGAATTACTATAATGATCATTATTTCTCAAACTGCAGCTGGAGAGGCATCATAACTGCCTTTATTTGCAACAGCACAGTGGCCACACCTCTCTTACTAACGGAAGTTGTGCTGGAACCATTGATTGAGCCTCTTTCCATTGGAAATACCCTAAGATCAGCTCTCATAATTTTACTATCTCCCAGTCAGAATGTGGCAAAAGTGGAACCATTGCTAGCCTAACTTTTTTTTTAGCAGCTTCCTTAGTCAAATATTGAGAGGTCAAGTCAAAATTGAAACATTGGTAAGAATGTTTCCCTTGGGATAAGTTGGTCACCCTCTAGATGGGTCAGTCTTCTTGGGTCCAGTATTCTCTTGGGTTCGTTTAAGTATTCTAGGTCAAGGCCATCACTGATTGGGATTTGATCACAGAACATGGGCTGAGGCACAACAGCTACAGTGGTGAAAGGTACCCAAAGGCAAGATCCCTTGGTTCTCAGGCAAGATGCAAGTGATGAAAATGGGCCTTGTTCCTTTAAAAAATAATCAAATGGGCTGCAAAGAGATCCCAGTGCCCGATCCACAACAGAGTCTCTTAACACTCTTTGTTGAGCAAGTGATCAGAGCAACCCACCCAAGGTTATAGAAAATTTCACCAACTGCTCATGCCTTACAAAGTGGTTCTTTTTTGTAGTTGATGTCCACTTGGAAACAGGTGTGTTACAAAAATGGACTTAATTATATAAATGGTCCTTGCACAGTATGTGGTTTCATATCAAGCTGGCACCTCTGCCAAAAAACGAAGTTGCTTAAGTAATGATGCCGAAGTCCATAAGTACCCTCGCTCCTGGAACATTCACCACTCTGAGATCCTCGGGGAAAAGGCAGTCTATAAATACGAAGCTTTACGGTTACCCTTAGTTACTTCACTTTTCAGAGCATAATGCAATCTGTCCCAAGTCCCATGTTTTATTTCTGTAGTGGATTCTGCTGTCCTATTTTATATATTGTATATCATGCATTATGTTGCTCTAGTAATTTTTTTAAAGATATTGTTCCACTATTATTTTTACTTGTCTTGGAAAATGGAAATGGGTGATAATGGAAAGGAAGGCCTGCTGGCAGAATCTTTATTTAATTTGCACAGTAGAAAGTTGTCTTCTGTGACTGTCTACTGATCACGGATCCAAACTCATAGAGGCGAGGGAAACAATCCGCTCCTCAAATGATGGATTTATATCCATTTATTTGCTTCGCCTCATTATGGACACAAAGAGTTCTTGGAAAATTGTGGGATGGTTTTGGGCTACCGCAGGAAACAAGAAAGGGTTCAGAGGATGCCAAAAGCAAATGTTTTAGAGATGAAACCTGAACAGTTCTGTAATGGTAAAGCATACTAATTGAAATTAGTCACATAGTTAAGAGAATCTACAGGATGGAGGATCACTTTATTTTTATTTTTATTTTTTGCCTTTCCGCCTCATGAATGTAAAATGTGCCTGTAATCTTAATACTATTCCAGATAGAACAGCCTTTAAATTCATGCTTCACAAGACTCCAGGGAAAATAAGTTACTAATGAATGGTATTTACAGTGGCGGCATCTAAGCGTGCTTTCATTTACTCTTCTAAAGTTACTGTGTAAACTACAAGTAATTAAAAGAAACGCAGAAAGTAGTTTCTCCTATTAAATCTGGTTCAGGCTAAAAATAAATAAATATAAATACTGAAATGCTAAGTAATGCCTCTAAACTGAAGCTGGGTAAAAAGGCATAACATCCATTCTCGGAGCCTTAAGATCCTGTTGGTGATTTGGGTAAAGAGTCCTGTAAGGCACAGAGTAGGTGCTCAATAAATACTTGTCTAATACATAGTGAGAACCAGAGTTCCTGTCAGTATCTCCTCCTCTCCCATCCTCTTCCCATAATGTTTCCAATTATCACCCCTTTTTTGACTTTTGTTTCTCTGTCTGTGCCCTCACCCCAAGACATTTTAGTATCTGTTTAGGTATTATGGCCCCTTGGAAGGGCACAAGACATTGTGGAATCTCAGAAGCAGTTTTGGGGTGATACAGCCCCCATGGAGAATGCACGCTGTGATGGTATTAGATTACAAATGCCAGATTTGTCCATAGAATATGACATTTAAAAGTCATCAAGATTCTCTTGGCCTGTCTTCTAGAACAGTCTGGGTAGGGCAAAACAAATAGGACCACTGGCCAAAAAGAAGCTGCCTATGATGAACTCTTGAGGAGTCTTGAGTACTACACCCAGGTACTTCAGTGAAGTGATACTGGATTGTCTCGTCCATTTAAGAAATGAGACACACAATAAACAGATTGCAGCTGGGCTCAGTGGCTCAGCCTGTAATCCTGCGCTTTGGGAGGCCGAGGTGAGTGGACTGCCTGAGCCCGTGGGTTCGAGACCCACCTGGGCAACTTGGTGAGACCTCATCTCTACAATAAATCAAAAACTTAGCCGGGCATGGTAGCGTGCGCCTGTAGTTCCAGCTACTTGGAAGGCTGAGGCGGAAGGATCGCCGGAGCCCAGCCGGTCGAGGCTGCGGTGGCCGGGAGTGGCCACTGCACGCCAGTCTGGGCGACAGAGTGAGACTCCAACTCAAAAAAACAAGACAAAACAAAAAACCAGATTGCCAGATGCTGAGGCTGCCCTGGTAGCTCATATTCGGGTGGTAATCTCTCTCCTGCTCAAAATCAGCGCCATCATCTTCCAGTACCTCTGGTGATGTGACAAGTGCTTTTGGTTTGTCAGTAGGAAACAAACACTCTGTGCAACTACTACGTCATCCTGAACAATCCGTTGGAAACCTCAAGAGCTTTTTTACACACCTTTATTGTTTAAGCAAAAACAGTTTACTTTTACAAAGTGAACCAAACCTAGCTCTCCCCTCCCACCAGACAAAAGAAAAGATGCTAACATCCACTTTAAAAGAAGAAGAAATACAAAGCCCTGCTTTCTCTTTAAACCCGTGAACAATAGAAGGTCATGTGACGTGGTGGCCTATCATCCCGCACATTAATAGCTGTGCTAGAGTAATTACACTTGTGGTATTTTTGCCTCAAGTGAAATTCTGAAATAAGAGGATGGAAATTATGATACTGCTGATAAATATTAATAAGTGAACTTTTAATTTTTTTGCCACAATATTCAAAATGCTAAGCATCCAGCTAATGCTGAAGCAGGCCGATGTGTTTGCCTCCGGGGAGTACGATGCTTTGTGCACTTAAGAAAAAAGTTTAACGGAATTAAAATTTAATATCTAATTAGAGCGAGGCTAATATATTTTGAAATGAGTGGGGGAGACCTGTGCCTCTGCTGCATATTCGGGATGGCCATTAATCTTACCTGTAAAGCTGCATTGAGAGGTGTGCAGTAGGCGTGGCTGCTCTGCATGTTTTTAATAAGGGAAGGGTTACTGCATAAGAAAAAGATAAAAACTCCAAGTTAAACAAAATCGACTTCCAAGTTCCTAGTTAAGTTTTGTTTTCAGCTTGCTGGTGTCCTTCCAAATCAGAAAGCTCCCCCCGTAACAAAACCAAAGAAAAGTCAGGCTTTCTCCTTGTCCCCTGCTTTATAGGGCTGGTCTGTGTGTAGACCTCTGGGGATAGACTCTGCTATTCGAGGAAACTAGGTGTAAAATTCTGGCTTAAGTAATAACAGGCTTGGGTACTCCCTCCAGAGGCCTCTCTGCAGATTTTTAGTAGTTACCCTGCCTCCAGACTCCAAGAGGAAGGGAGCAGCCTGGGAAAGCCTGCTGGGGAAGTCAGTGAGCTCATAGCAGGGGTTCCTGGGAATGAGACGGAAGAATCTTGGCTCTTAAGCATCTTCATGATTTGAACTCTATAGTGACTGCTAGAGGAACGGCAGGAAGGCTGTTAAGGAAGATCTCCACGGCACGTTTATTGCCAAAAGAAGATGGAGAGTAGGGTATGCCAGGGGAGGGTCTTTCCTAAGTAAGGTGAGAGGTCGAGTTGATGTCTTTCTTATACAGCCAAATGTGGGAGAGTCTCAGAATATTTGACGCCGTCTCCACTCACAAACCAAGTGAAAGCCAAGATACTGTTTGCAGAAAATCTCGAGCCCAATGAGACTAAAAATGCTAAAAATTATATAGGACATTCTGAGGGGAAAGAATGTCTTCCAGTAGGCAGTTTTCTACATTTATCAATGGCCTTTAAAGGAAGTATACTTGATATCACCAGTTTCCTTCCTGTGCTGGGAACATTTTGATCAATTACTTCATTACATTTATGTTATTATACTGAGTAAACAAATAAGAAATTTACCCCAACAGTATACATTTTGACTCTAAACAAAAATGTCCTTTTAACTTGGAGGAATTATGGCTTAAGCAAACATATTTAGTTATAGAATCCCCGTAAGCTGCTGAATCAAAATACAACCAATATTTGCATTAAAGACGTCAAAAAAGCATTATTCAAGGCACTGGTGTTCCAAAGAGAAAACAAGAGAAATACATGTACAAATCACACAATTTAGTTTCATTGCAGAAAGCTGTGGCACTGCTATTGGTGAAATGCAAAACTACATGGGATGAGTCAACCATGCAAAGCCAAAGCAACAGCAGAAAAAAAAAACAAAAGCAAGTAAAGGCTCTTACTGTGCGACAAGCTCGTCAAAGTTTTCATCGGGGCAGTATTTGCGAGGACGGCCTCGTTGAATATGGCGGCCACGTTTAAACTCTTCATCATCAACTGTCCAAAAGGACCCAAACTCATCCTCTACTCTGATAAAGCACTTATGCAGTGAGAGGTTGGTGCGAATGGCACCCTGGGATAGGAGCAGCAGCAAAGGAGATGGAGTGGCAACAAAAGGAGACGGGGTTGGGGGCAGAACAGACATCCAATACAGGGAACAGGAAAAAGAAAATAAAATGCAATAAGCATAAGCAAATGGTTTGTGAGGGTTAATATGCATTGCCACCTAAAAGCTACTAGCATGTGATGCAACAAAGACCAGCAAGCAGGGCAAGGGGACTGGTGGGTATACAAAACAGGAGGGATGAAATGCTTTTTTGCTTCCCTTAACTGAGACAACGTGAAACCAGTTCTGTGGTCTAACACCATCTAGCAGCCAAAGCCTCTACGTTATACTTGTTAGCACAATCCAAGCTAGGCTAAGAAGTTCAAACATGGTGGACGTACCCACTGATCTTTTGTGGCCTTCGTTTTTGGAATTCTACTTCATCCACTGTCCATACTGCCCCTTTAACGTTTTCTACTCGCACAAAACACTTGTGAAGACTAAGATTATGACGCACTGCATTCTGCAGCAAGTATAAAAGAGAGAACATTTACATTTTCTATAAGAAAAGACTCCAAAAACAGCAGTAAATTCAGCCTAACAGTCCACATTTGTAAAACCATCCCCAAGAGCTATAGCTACCACCCCCGTGGATAACCTCCTTGTAGTGAAGGATGTCTTTTCCAACCAAAAGCAAAAAATAAACCAAAATTATAAATTAATTGTCCTTTTTGGCATTGTGGTCTAGTTTCTGGTAATATCTAACCAGAAGAAATATTTTTTAACATGTATATAAGCCCAAAATAGGTTCCCCAGTACAAATCTGAAAATATTGTTACTATGACTTCAAATAAGAAACCATGCAAAGCATAAAACTGTCCCTTTAAGCCCACCTACCTCCCATAACAAAGGGGTATTTTTTTTTAAACCATGAAAGAAGAAGACTTGGTTGTTATTGCTAAATACAGTTTTGTTCCTGACAGCTTCTGGCTTTAAAAATGTCCATTAAGGAAAAGTCTAAATTGGATTTTACCACTGAGAGTATCACCTCGCGTAGCCATCAGGATCAGGGGGTGAACTGACTCCCAAGGGATCAGAATCTATCATCAAGCTACATCTTACCTTCCGGAATATATATGAGAGTTGGCCTTGACTATGGGCAAGTACCTTAATTAATTGAGTAAATGCCAAAGGAACACATGAATAAAACTCTCAATGGCAAAATGACTATATTCCTGCAGCTGAAGGTTTCTGTAGACACATGTTTCCTTCTTAGGGTTAAAAGTCATTTCTGGTCATTCCTAAACAGAGACCTTTGACATAGATGATCTATCAAAAAGGAGGATCTCAACTCAAGGATGAAGAACTTTTAACAACTCATCTTTTTCTTTGGGTTTCAGAAGAATCCCCAACCCTTACTGGCTATAGTAACAAGCAGGACTTCATTTCATTAGTCCTGCCTGGTCAAACTTGCTGATCCAAACTCAACATTGGCCATGAGGATATAACGAAGAGACTCATGTCATTCACTTAAAACATTTTTCTTATTCAGAATAAGTAGGTGACTCAATTGGGGCATGAGATATTGATACTTTGTAACCCTCTCAATTACTATGGCACTGCTATTGTACAAACATCTGTACTGCCCCCCTTTCAGCACCAGTAAGTATTTGCTCCCTGATTATCCTTAATGGTGGAAAATCTTGATACTTTGAGAGGTGTTTCAATTTTTAGACAATCACAATTGGTTATGCTGTGAGGATTCAAGCTACATAATTATTTTTCTCTTCTGATATGAAGTATTTAGAAGACATTGAGATAAGTTTTACTGCATGGTGTGATGAACTGCTCACAAGGAAGATTCACAGGATAAATTCCCAAAGAGCTGTTGAGTAACATCAGTATAATTCAGGTAGATTCAAGATACCTAGGTGCCTATCAAAGGACACCCCTGATTCAAAAAAGTTTGATGGGTTTGCTTAAAAGTAAAACAAAAAACCCTCTAAACTAAAAACATTTGGTATGTCATAATTACACTTGATATTCTTTGCATATAAATTGTAGTCTAGCCTTTAAGCATTTTTTAAATATTGCACAAAGGCACGGGATAGGGTACAAAAGGTCTGCTGTTACTTACTAGAACAAAACTGAGGTGGTATAAATAAATAAAGGCAAATTTCCTTTAAAAATCCAGACAGGGCATGTATATATGTGGGAGACATAACTGAAAAAGAAGTCAGCGTTGCTCCTAGTCCTAATCACTGACTGATGTTTTAAAATAAGTATAAAAATGTGCAGAACTGAAAGAGCTAAAAGTTACTTCTGATAAAAAGATTTCTATAGATCTGGCAGAGCAATATAGCCACGTAAGTAAAGATGCAAAGCCAAAACTTAAGTTTTGTCACTAAGACTGCATATCTAAGCAGAAAGCAACTAGAAATCAAGAGTTTTCCAAAAAGATGAGTAAGCTCTTTTCAGTCTTAATTTTAACTGAGTATTTTGTCTAAGATCACAGTCCGAATAAGGACACATAAAATAAAAGTATATGTATTTTTGAGTCATTAAATACTTCATCTAGGGTTGTTTATATTAATGACACTTTTTTCTGTAGTTTGCAAAATGAAAAAGTTCAATCTAAAGATTTGGGCTTAAATATTACATTTACAACTGGTAATTATTTTTAAATTAGATCATCTCTATTTATAAAAGGCAATCTGAAGAAAATGTCTGCTTCATGCTTCTACTTCCTAAATTTTAAACGCATTCCTGGCTAAAGATCCTTTCCATTTTATCTCCCAAGGCAGGCTGAGGAAAAGATGGTAAGATTTCAAACATAGCGTCCTTTCGGTGCCCATGAGTCTTAATGGAAATGAAAGGATAAATTGGGCCATAATAGATATTCACAGCTCTGTAAAGTTGATGAATTAATTCTATGGTTATGTTCATTTTCTTTTAAAATGCTAATTTATCAGGAACTTAACAGAGGAAATGTGTTTTTCTGTTTTTTGCTTTGTTTTTTCTCCCATATAAAATTAAGGAATCAGTAAGGAAGGTCTTTATTTCAAGGAAACCAAGTTTTCCTTGCGTCCTGTAATAAATCGCTATCATATTCAGATTAGTGACATGTACAAATGCCCTTAAATGTTTTCATTACATGTTTCTTTTTGTTTGTTTGTTTTTTTCTTTTGTTTTGAGTTGGAGTCTCATTCCATCGCCCAGGCTGGAGTGGAGTGGCACGCTCACAACCACCCTAGCGTTGACCTGCTGGGCCTCCAGCCATTCTTCCAAGTAGCTGGAACTACAGGCGTGCACTACTGGAACTGTACTGTACTGGAACTACAGGCGTGCCTGGGTAATTTTTGATTTATTGTAGAGACGAGGTCTCACCAAATTGCCTGGGCTGGTCTCAAATCCGTGGGCTCAGGCAATTCACTCACCTCGGCCTCCCAAAGTGCTGGGATTACAGACTGAGCCACTGAGCCCGGCCTCATTACATGTTTCTAAATGTTTTGGACTTCAGGGGTTACAAGGATTCCAGGTTGTAAAAAATAAAAATGTCTGAGTGGATCTGCCCCCTTCTATAAGCAAGAATATCAGACACCAAGAAACTGAAAATTGGAAAGTCCAAAAATTTGTGAGGGCTTAATCAAATATAATGGAATAAATACCATGGAAATCTGTAAGACAATTGCTGAACTGGGAATGAGGTATGCCATATGACCCCAAGGACTGTTGGGATCACCTAACACAGAGCTATGAAACCTGTTTTATGGCAAATGATGTTACAATAAAGTTCCATAATTTACAAGCTATTTTCTTTCTCGAAGCACCGATGAGCCTCTGAGAGAAAATCTCTCAACTTAAAAACAAAACCAAACCTTAATATTACATGTGTTCTCTTATAATAACTCCCATATACAGTGCTAGCATTAGACTGCACAGCTTTCTCTACCAATTGGGTTGATGCTAGTGAGCTTTTATTCAACCAATGAAGGCTGTGTCAAGTTTGTCTGGTCATTTCTCTAAGTTCCTAATGGTGAAAAAACAACTATACATCTCTGCAAATATTGACTGTGGTTGAAGACCTAACAGCATGAGGTTTGTGCAAGTAACAGGACAACCTCAACATGCAGGCCACAGTGTCATCTCCTTTCTCCCATGTGTTTCCAACCAGAGAGATGATTTTACTGGTTGGCCCTTGCACATCTTTGATGCCAGTATAAGGGCAATCTTCCATCCAAGCATTACAACCATGATGGAACTATTTTCCCAATCAAATACTTCTATAGGGTGGACACTATGAGAGTATCAAAACAATATAAATGTAGTAACTTCCGTAGAGCACAACTGCATTTTATCAACAAGAACTGTTCTATATACGTCAAGATCCAAGAATAAACAGGCCTGAGAGAGAACTTACCTTCCACGTGGCTGCGTTGCGCCGAAAGTAAGCAAACATTCGTGTGAACCAGTTATAGATTTCATTTAGTGTTAGCTGCTTTTCTGGCGATTCGAGAATGGCCTGTGAAGCAAAAAGTAACAGAAGAAGATAATTTATGGCCAAATCAGCAGAATCGTCATTATACAGTTTCTTGAAAATATAAAATAACTCTGATTCAGAGCTAAATCCTAAGAAAGGTTTCACAAAATGATCTAAGATTAATGGTTGTATTTAACAGTTCAATAGCAAAATTCAAAATGGAATTATCTAATTGTTTTGAGTTTTTATTTCTGTTTCCGTACAGAAATATTAATTTATTAGTCATTCATAAAGCAGAATCAAAGAGAAATGCAAAACATTTCACTAGCTGATTAAAGCTCAGTAATTATTTAGAGCTCAGATTAATTCTAGGGATCAGAGATTACTGTAGCTTGTGATAATTGACTTGCCATCTTTAAACAGGCTCATTTTCACTGTTGTGTGAAATGAATTTCCTAATAATCACATCGTATTGTAATACTTAATCAAAAGCAATTATGTTATATATTGCAGTTTTAAAAAACCTTATAGAAAAGGTTTCAGCATGCTTGCATACTAAACGGTTTTAAATCTACTTCATCAATATAATATACCCATGTACACGTATACCTTTTGATAAAATTCCATATGCTGTGTTATTTACTTACCTGCCTAATTAAAGATGCATATGTAAATGGTGGTCTAACTTCTGCGTTCTTATAAAATTCTTGGTTCTGCGCAATATCTGCTAAATGAGAATCATTGTCCTATTAATTATCACTTTTTAAAAAGGGGCTAGTCTACAAAAATTACAGATGACAACTCTACATGAGGCAAAAAATGGAGTATCTACCTGAAGAAATGGGCACGTTGTATTTGTCTGAGTACCGCCTGCGGATGGGTCCCACCGTATGCATGTTGGTGGTGGTGATGACAGAGGGGCCTTGGGTGACGGGAGTCAAGGGGGCAGTTGGGGTCGTTGGAGTATGAGGTAAGCTCTGTGGAGAAGCCTCTGATGCGGACTTGGAGAGTGTGACACTTGACACCAGATTCAGCTGTGAGGAAAAGAACACATCTTAGAAGACCTTCGGAAAATGGAGCAACCTAGGAAGCGCCTCACATTCACCTGGGTACTGTTGCTTCTCTAAGCAGATATGATTATAATCCACTAAAATAGAAGGTGAATTCCATGTGAAAGCAATTCACTTAGTATGCAGTAAAAGACATCTCTTGCAATGTTCTCCTTCCCAAAGGCTCCTAAATGTATGCTTCAGCTGCAACAAGGGCTTACCTACCCAAGTGAATTTGAAAAGTTCTGAGTCAAGACATTTCTTCAATCATGATTTTCTCGCCTACTTTTATCACCTACTAGACCTCATAAACCTCAAAGATGGAGATGGAATCCTCAACAACACCCGTAAAGATGAATATTTTAGGCAACACCAGGTGGGATACACTGGTGTTGATCTGAAGTGTCCCACAGAACTTTCTGCAATGTGCTAGCACAATTCAGGAGATCTTTTTGCTTTTCTATTAAAATTAAACTTTTATTTAATTTTAACGCATTTAAATTTAAAGAGCTCCATGTAGCTGGGAGCTACCATAATAGGCTACTCATGTCTATCATGAAACTTCATGGATGATGAGAACTACTGCAAATATGTTTGGCCTACTGCTCATGTTAGAAATGGTGGCAATGATCCAGTAAGCCATCATTTATTTCTATCAGCTGGCAGAAAATAATATTTAAAAGTTGTAGGTGTAATCTTCAATAAATTACATCATACAGTATTGGGATCTATTATTTAAAAAAAAATATTTGGCATATCCTGGAGTTCTGGAACTGTAAGATTTTTGTTGATTTTTTTCCTTCAAGTTTTGGATGTTCCATGACATGGAGAATAATCTGCTTCAAGTAAGGAAATGAATATTATTTATCTGAAGTAGAAGAAAATGAATGAGTACTGTTTTGATTGATCTTTATCTTTCTTACCTTCACCTTGAATTGTTGTTCTTTTAAGTACTAAAGGGGACAACCCTTTCCCAAAATTTGTTGGAACAGAAATATCATTTTAAGCCCGGCAATGCTGAAGAACTTGGTTGTTTTCAGCATATTCATTACACAGAATTGCTATTTCAGATGCACAGAGCCCACCCCCAAAATCCAAGAACATCGCAAAGTAGGCTTACGTGGTAACATTTTCTCAAGTCAGATTTCTAATCACTTACCATAATAAGTCTATTTCACCATCACTACAGTCAGTCTTAAGTACAAGGCAGTATTTGTGGAAGGTATTAAAAATGAGATTCCTTTGAGATCATAAAGAACATATTAAAAAAGAGTTCCAATATGTTAAGACGACTCAACCTTTACTCATGGTTGGGTTAAAAAAAAACAACCTGTAACAATCTTCTCTATCTAATATTTGGGGAAGTTCATAAAAAAAGCAATGACTCTGAAGAAAAGAAAGATCAAATATTGTTGGAGAAATACTAATGGAAAAATGTAAACACAGTGTTGGACACTTAAGCTGTGTTGTGAGCTTTTAGTTGTGCTTTCCTTTCTGTTTCCAGTGTGGAATGTTGACTCAGCAAACAGTGGCCCCCAATGCCCGAAAAGAACAAGCTATGGAGATATGGCACTGCCCTTACAAATGCCCCAGCAAGCTGGGCAGATGTCGTGAGCTGCTTTTTCAATAGTCCTGGAGACCTGACTTTATGACACACATTTGCAAACTTATTTCTAACACTTTGGAGTAACAGTCGCAGGAAGGAAGAGCCAAGGGGAAAGAGTTGGGGCTGACCTCTTCTTCACATCAGGACTTAATCACTGACCAAGTCCAGGAACAGTATGTATAAGCATCAGATCAAGCAAAGGGTCAAGGAAATTAGTGCATGAAAGGATAAGGCTAATAAATACACATCCTTTATAATTCAGATGCTGCTAGGCCTAAGAATCTCTTGGAAAGTCATGGGTAACATTTGTAAAAGTCATGTTTGAAACCACCTGCCACTGTGGGGTTTCACTTAATTCTCATACCACCACAGATACCGGCGCTGTTATTACTCATATTTTACAGATAAGCAAACTGAGGTTTGGCGAGATTAAACAACTAGCCCATGTTTCATCCTGGACCCAAAGTCAAACCATACAGTTGTGTGATTCTAGACGCTTTGTCTAATCTTCTTATGCCTGGTTAATGGGAAAAATAAATACCAGTTTCATTCTTCTGTGTGCTCATTTTTGGGAAGAATTCAGTGGATAACTTGTATCTCTGCTTATGAATGAAATTCAGTACATATTACTGAGTAAATATAAGGCCAGTGGTCCTATAATGAGGAAAACAGGAATAAAACAATTGCTGGCCTTGAAGTGCTTACCATCAAATGCAAACATCAGTTGAAGGCAAAAGTACATAATAACCACAAAATAATTCTAACTCCACTGTTTGTCTCTCTTTTCCATTTACAAGCATTACCCTAAACTTTGTGGCTTTTTAAAAAACGTAATGAAAATTATAAACACAAATGTCCTAAAATATGTATGCTCCTTTCCAGTTTTGGGAGGAAGATCACTAAGTCCACTGGGTTCTAGTTTGTCAAAAATCAAAACTCATGTAAACATTCAGCAAGTGGGCTGGGTGTGGTAGCTCAAGTCTGTAAGAGGATTGCCCGAGACCGCCAGTTTGAGACCAGCCTGGGCAACATGATGAGACCTCGTCTCTACAATAAAAATCAAAAAATTAGCCGGGCGTGATAACACGCACCTGTAGTTCCAGCTACTTGGAAGACTGAGGCGGAAGGATCACTGGAGCCCAGCAGGTCAAGGCTGCAGTGGCCATGAGTGTGCCACTGCACCCCAGCCTGGGCAACAAGAGTGGGACTCCAACTCAAAAAAAAAAGCAACAACCAAAAAACCATTCAGCAAGTGAGGGTCCACCTTTTGGGTGCTCACAGCTAAGAATAGACAAATCCCCACAGTAGAGTGTCATCAAATGCAAAAATAATTTGACTCTTGTAGCTTTTACAAAGGTCTTATCACTTGGACTATTTCTACCAATAAAAAAGGCAACAGGGAAAATGAAATTCCTCCAGGTCAGCACAGTCCACGAAGAAAGAGACGCAGAAAGAATTTTCTGGAGGCTTTTGAACATAGCGAGTAGAAATAAACACTAGGCCAGAAGAAAGCAGAGAGGGGGCTTACCAGGCTTGACAAATGACACCGTGATTCACACCCACTGCTGGGCTGTCTCTAATAAGCCACAGAGGAAGCAGCCAATCTCAGCTAATTACCAGATAAAAATGTATTGTAAGGACTCTAATTAGGAGACGCGGATGGAGGTGATCTAATGATTAAATGCTGCATTCGAGTGACCCCACCATCAATGTGCAGTGGTGCAAGATGTCACTGGAATATTTTGTAGAAACAGTAATTTTATTTCAAGGAGGGGAGGCAGTAATATTTGTAATGATGGCTATGAGGTAAACTAATTAAAAGACAGTTCCTAGAGGAAGAGGGTGGCTGAGAGCAGCTGCGCCCATTCCAAAACCAAGTGCCAAGTCTCAATAGAGGAGCTGCAGTCAAGTGGAAAATTTCTGCCTGACCTCTGCCCTTGCTATTAATTTGCAGGAAAACTAATGACACATATACATATTCCCACAAAATTGTTCTAATTGCTAATTTGCCAAAGGAGCCCAGATTCCAAATTAAACATGACTGTGGCCTGTGAGGGAAGGAAGAACAAAAAACTGTAAACTCCAAACAGAGGGTGCTTTGCCACACAAAATCACTTGAAGGCTGAACCAACAAGTTAATGAAATGTCAACCTTGTCAACTGGCATAGAAGTTTCTTAACTTTTAAACTTTTGTTTGATGATCACATGCTTGTCTTGAGGAGAAACGATCTTCGTAAGGGAAGGCAGAGAGAGAGAGAGAGAGAGAGAGAGAGAGAGAGAGAGAGAGAGAGAGAGAGAAAGAGAAAAGAGAAGGATTCAAAACAAGCTCTGTGTTCAAACTAAACCTGCTCTTTTAATTAAGGTCTCGCTGGAAAAAGTGGCCCAAAAAAATTAATTACAGACTTAGAACAGAAGAGCAAATGGGGAACAGTGTGGGTTTTTGCTGTAATCTTGAAATATTCATCTTAATTGTAAACTATTAAATCTTAATATAATCATCAATTAGAAATGAAAGCATATGTGCTTCATGTTTCTGATTGTAGTTAAGGTTTTTAAAAGATAATTTTTTCTGGGGCATGGAGCAGGAAGGGAATGGGCTGGGAAGTTTTCTTTTCCTGATGGAAAGCCTATTTTTCTTATTGTGTTCATTTTCTATTTAAAAAGAAGTGGCTATGTTTAGAAAAGTCAGTAATTCTGATATTTTCTACATGGCAAGTTTCCATCATGTGATGATTTCAGCAAAGATAATCTCTTTGAAACTCTGGCCAAAAGTTAAATTCTTATGTCACTTAAAACTGCTGTAGGGCTTTATTTTTTTAATTTATAATTTATAATAAAAGCATCGTCTTTTCCCTCAGTTTGGTTACAGAAAGACCATTCTGGAAATCTTAGCCGTCAAAACTACTCAAACTCTATCAGCTACCTAATACTCAGCTTAGACCTTAAAAAAAAAAAAAAAAAGGAATCTTTAGTTTTAAACAGTAATCTCCTCAGCCGTTTAAAGATGATGAGTCACTCACATTTTGAAAAAATAAACAAACCGCTGATGTAAACCCCGGACAGAAACAGACTTGTTGTGAGTATTCCCATAAGAACTCATTTTTATTTTTGTTTGTGCTCTTGTCTCACATGAAAACAGATTCTGAGAACAAAAGACAAACCTGAAACCCAAACACCAAGGGACGTGACTGCATAGTAGGACTTTCAGGCTCACAGAATTCGTTTTTCTGCTGCTGGTTTTACTGGCCTGAGTGGGCTCCAGTCCTGCTTACTGCAGGAGGCAGCGTTTCTAGGCATGAGTCACTGAGTTCAGGGACGGCCTTTCTGAAGCTGAAGGGACGTTACCAGACCATGGGGCAGGCAGGACAGTGGGTGGCAGCTGGAGGCCTTTGTTGCAAGCCTTTGCTTCCCTTTACTACCTCAGTCTGGCCTTGTTTTAGAGACGGCTGCTTGCAGAGGGCACTGACTTAGAAGGTGGCGTTACTGGAAGTGATACTAAAAGCAAAAACAAAAAAAACTTGAGTTGAGTGGGGAGGGGGCTTATGAAAAACAGTATATAAAACGGCTTTTGTGTGTTGCGCCTGAGAATCCTCTTTTATGACTGCCTAATATTATTTCTCCAACTCTAAAGCAAGGCTCCAACAGTCCAAATGATCCTTGAAGAGTTAAAAGATCCTTTTTTCAGAGGGGGGCACTTTGTTTTCATAGGAGCTAAAAACTTTTTCAAAACAGTCCTAATTGCTATGGTTAGAGCAAAAGAAAACGTGTAAAAGGAAAATCTAATACTGTATTTCATTCCAAATATCCCAGTTCCTGTAAATGTTTTATGAGATTTTCATAAAGAGGAATATACTACCTACACTATAATTACGTGCCCACCAAATCTGAAAGAATGTGGTTTCTCCAGGACCAGTTGTTCTCTGATCTATAGGAATACCCTAAAGCAAAGCGTACCTCTCATGTACTCCATAGTATAAAATATGATTTGCAGTGTTTTTCTGACATAATGATACATAGTGAAAAGCATTTTTAAGAAATCCTTAACAACTTAATATAGCCATAACAGACAAGTTTCTTGTTGTTGTTGTTTTGTCCTGTGTTCCTTGCCCCCTCCCTCCCACAAGGAAAAATCGCAGCAAATTCTCCATGGAGTAAGCACTGAGATGTTAACCTCCAAGCGATACATATGGGTGTTTACTTTGAGAATGTTTATGGAGTTTGAAACAAAAGAATATCAATCACTTTCATTAGGGCAGCTTACTTTGGTCTTATTGTTTTGCTTTTGCTTCTCTTTCCCTGGGAAGAAAAGAATCTTTTAAAACTTAAACTACGACAAATCTGGCCATTCTAAACGTAAGTCAAGAACTGCCTTTCTGCTCTATGTACCTGACTGCTAGAACTGACTTACAGCTGCTCTCAGAAACTTTTACATATCCTTTTCCACGCAGGGCTTAGCCTTAATAAAATTAAAAGTATGAAAAGCTTATCTTAGTTGATCTTGGCTATTCCTTTCCTTCCTCCACACTGATCCTCATAACCCACCTGCCTCTCCCAGATCCTTTCCTCAGAGACACACAAATACATGCAAGCCCCTCTTCACCCAAAGGAAGACCCATGAAACTGACTTCTTGTCCTTTCTTCCCACTCATCTCTGTGGTTTCACCTCAGACATCACTTCTTCCAGAAGTCTCCCTCAACCCCACCATTCTGGGGCAGTTGTCCCTCTATTACTCCATGGCAGAGACAGGTCTCTCTCAGCTGACCACTCTGTGTTCAGAATGTAGTATGTTCAATCAACATTTGTTGATGAAATAGTTTTATCTTATTTTAGATTGGAACACACAGTTTATCTAGAAAGTAAATTGGAGAGAGAGAGGAGGTAGGGGACGGGACCAAAGCTTAGGAAACATGGCAGCCATAGTTCTAAGAGCCAAATGGCCCGATCAGAGTTTAGTAACGCAATGATTTTAAATGCAGGAATTCCCTTTCTGAAAACAACCTACACTTTTGAGTCTTGGGTGTAATTCTGAAAGTGTTTTTTTTAATTTTTTACAGATTTAAAAAGATATGACAGCAAGCACGAAGAGAGGCTAGAGAGTCTAAGGGATAGGAAGCCTGCAGGCTCCTGTCTCAGGTTACCCATATGCTTTCTCCTCAGAGTGGGCCGAGCTCAGATCCAGGTCTAAAAACTTGGGTCCCTTCCCGAGATGAGCAGATCCTCTAACTATTCAAATCTGAAGATGAGCTCTACAACCGGATCCAGAGACTGCATCTATGAGCTGATGTCGGAACAATCCAAGAACATTTTAGCAGTTTCTTTGATGCAATGAAATGGGGAGTGGATGGAAGATTAGATACAACAAATGACACTTACCACCCAAATGGCATTTAGTGGAAAGCAACATTTACAGCAAACCGTTCTATCACTTAGTGACTAAGAATTTTAAAATAAACATGAGGTTTCTTTTACACAGAAATGGAAAACAGAAAAAACTTCATAAACTTACTGGCAACAGTGTAACATGAAAGTCCCTATCTATGGTTAGATTTGAATCCCGGTGACGGCTTGTTTTAAATCAAAGATTCTAGAAGGATACTCAATTCAAACAAACACCACACATTCTATTACTTAGGGTGAAATAAATTAATTTCAGGCTATAGGGAATACTTTGCAAGTTAGAATCAGATAGCTCAAGGTCCCTAAAGTTGAAAGCACTCCGGATTTGCTGTATGTGTGTGCCTTTTTTTTTCTCCTTCTTTCTTTTTGGCAGGGAAGTGAAAATTTATGCAAAACATTACACGTCTACCTTTTATAATTAATTTCCCAATGCCTCACCTATACATATTTTAATAATTCCTGATTTATAAGATGGTATCTATAATAAAATTTTCTATTTTCCAATAAATGAAAAGAAGGCAGGTTCACTCCGACAACAGAGTGTCACACAATATCTACTTGTCAGGCACCAATTTTTACTTCTTACATGTAAGTTAAAGGATAAGGAATTTATAATGCTGCCTGTGAAGGGAACCACTTTTCATACACAAATGTGATCTTTTTTTTTTCAAAGGGTAATACAACAGTACATTTACATAAACTAATCCAAACAATCTATGTATTTGACAATGGCAAACCTCACACAGACGGCCTATTGTTGGTTTACATCTTGGAGTTCTTTATATTGGCTTGTAGCGCTGCTCTAGCTGTCAAAGGTTTGACTTGGACTCTAAATAAATGGTTATAGAAGTGCTGTGCAGCGATATTGGACTTCTTTGCAAAAGAAAACCTGCTGTGTATGAATTCAAAAGCTATTAATTTTTCAGTCAAAAATATTCGTGCCTATTTCTTTTAATAAAGAAATACTGTGCTCAGCTACTAAGAGATAATGTTGACTAGTGGTAGAGAATTTTCAATAGAGCAGTTAAAAATAAATTTAGTAGGAGGTCCCCTTCAAAGTTATAATTTTCTAGAATGTAAAACATTTTTTTAAATACTAATCAAGACAAACCTTTCTTTCCTGTTCATTTCCCCCCATGGCTGCTTTTCCCTGTTTACTGGCTGCTTAACATTGGTCCACGTGGAGATTCCCAAGGGGTCTTTTGTGGCCCCTGTGGGCTTATGTACGTGGTGCTCCCTGGCAACACCCGGCACCTTCACTCGCCAAGCGCCCTGCAAGGTTTGGCAGCTCCTACTCTTTAACAATCCCTCCTTCTCGCAAAGCACCCCCAAATCCAAAACAAGTCCATGCCTAGAGTTCTGAGTCCAGCCATTCTTTTTTTCTGAAAGAAAGAGTCTCGCTCTGTCACCCAGGCTGGAGTGCAGTGGCGTGATTATAGCTCACTGCAACCTCTAAATACTGGGCTTAAGAGATCCTCTCACCTCAGCCTCCAGAGTAGCTGGGACTGCACGCACTGCCATACCTGGCTAATTGTTTAATTTTCTGTAGAGATAGGGTCTCGCTATGTTGACCAGGCTGGTCTGGAACTCCTAGGGTCAAGTGATCCTCCTGCCTTGGCTTTCCAAAGTGCTGGGATTACAAGCATACACCACTGCACCTGACCTTCTATCATTGTTTTTTAATCCATGGAGGAAGGAGGAGATAATCTTCTACAATACTGAATGGCCTGGCTGTTTTTGGACATCTCCAATCCTGTAGCCACTTACTGTATAATACATGGAAACTAAGGACTCTTTCCCAGTAAAAATGGATGCGCGAAGTGTTTAATGATTTTATGTCCTATATCTCAGTAATGTGTTCTGTTTCAGACATTAATTTTGTCTGCCAACTGCATCTTGGCAGGCTACCATATTTGCTGGGTTAATAGTCTGACTCCGTTTTATTTCTATCACCATAAATCATACATATATGGGTGTATGTTTGCTTTATTTATAGAAAAAAATCAGTCAAAACAGATAAACCAATACTTTGCCATTATGCTGCATCATTGCATATTGATTAAAATTGCTGGTACTAACTATAGATTGTCAACGCTCAATTAATTTTCACACAGTGACTCCAAGCAAAATCAAATAAAGGCAGTGTACCTTTAAATTTTACAAATCTTAAAATCAAGAAGCAAAGCACTGTCTCCATTTTGAATAATCAGTAAAAGCTACTAGGAGAATTTTAGAAATACAAGTATATGAGAAATACAACTGGTAAAGAGATCAACGTCTTATAAGAAAGGATGTCCAAGACAAAATTTTGGGTTTGGATACCATTCTTCTACTTTGATATTAACTGCCTGTGCAGAGATGTCACCCTTCAAGGTCCAGTAAAAGGGAACAAGGCAAGAAATAGGAGATTCTTAAAAATTAAATGCAATTTCAGCATGGCACATTTGGTCTCCTAACTGTGAAGGAGTAATTTTCACTTCAAACTCCTTGGTAACCATTAGACGCTCTCTATCATTTAGCCTCTATCCTGAAAGTGTGTTTTCTCTTTCCTCTGTTACATTCAGCTTGGACTAGTTCTCGCCCCTTGTCTCACACAGTACCATCTCTCAGCTTACCCAGGCTGAAATGCCTCTTTCTTCTGCTGTCATGGTTTGGCAGTTTTCTCTGTGTTCCTACCATTCAGAAAGATTTCCTTTTTTCCAGAGAGCTCCTGTAATATATTTCAGCACCTTGGTTTAGCACCAACCATTCTGTCTCAAAGAAGAGCTGATTGCTTGGGCCTGTCGGGCAAGGACCCCGTCTGAGTCACCCTGTATCTCCCCAAATGCCTAGCACACTGCCTAGCACACTACCTTCATAAAAGGTAACCGGAAACAAGCGATTGAACTTAAGGCCTTCAACACTCAAGTCTGGAATACTACAAGTGTCATCTTCCCTTTGGAGTAGGATGAATACTCACAGGCTGAGGGGCGGCTTTGGGTTCTGTAGACTTCACATGCAGATGGGTCATCATGGCTTGCAGGCGTTCTTTGTCTTTTGCAAGCTAGCAGGAAGAAAATGCTTTGTTATTTATCTGAACAAAGATGCATGACTCTTTTAATACCCCAGATGAGACATATTCCAAAAGAAACAATGGCACTATAGCACATGACAAAATCATTTTCATTGCTTAATTGTTTTTGAAATCTCTATGACCATGGCCAGAGTCACTAGAAGTGTTGGTGTGAGACACAGGATGAATTAGACTTTAACTGGCAAGTTCTAGACCTACCGGCACCAAGGAGTCCCATGTAACAGACAGCTTAAAGACAGATGTGAATCATGCCTATTAACCAACCTTATTCACAAGGAAGCCAAAGGAAGATGAGCTAGGTAGCTAAAACTCATAAATTCATCTGTTGTGGTTATGGAAAAACTCCTAGACAGATGGATATATTTATGCAAAATTAGCTTGATCTTTCTTAATAGGTAGGCATAGATTAAGACAGTGCTGGCAAATGATATTAGCAGGGCAGGAGCAGGCTAAAAGAGATGACAGGTGCCCATTTTCAAATGAGCATAGAATAAGCTTATTCATTTATTCAATATTTGAGTACTTGCTATGTGCTAGTTTCATCTTAATAACTTTAGTGTGCATATTCTATATAAAACTATCTTCTGAAGTCATGGGAGTTTCTAATTGGATATACATAGTAGGCACTCAAATACTACTTACTGGAAGCTACATCCTTTATGTTTGCCTAGGACTGCTTTGCTTTTTGGTTGTTTAAGTTGGAGTCTCACTCCGTCGCCCAGGCTGGAGTGCAGTGGCATGCTCACAGCCACCCCAGCGTCGACCTGCTGGGCTCAGGCGACCCTTCTGCCTCAGCCTTCCAAGTAGCCGGAACTATAGGCGCGTTACCACGCCTGGCTCATTTTTTGATATATTGTAGAGATGAGGACTTGCCAAGTTGCCCAGGCTGTTCTCGAACCCATGGACTCAAGCAATCCCCTCACGTCGGCTTCCCAAAATGCTGGGATTACAGGCTTGAGCCACCGCACCCGGCTGCCTGGGACTGCTTTGACACAATGGTATTTTTGATAGACCAAGACAGTTGCACATAGGGAACACATAATGATTACTTGTGGCATTTAGGAAAAATGTAAAAGAAATTAATATATGAGAGAAAGAGAGAGAGAGATTATGAGAATACATAGTTTTGTTTCAACACATCAATAGACCATTTTCCCAAAATAATGCCTTACACTTGGAAAGGCGCTCAATTTATCTATGTCATACAATTAACTGTATATCATTTAAAAATCATTTATTTCTTGTGAGTCTAAAATCATACCAAAATAAAAAAATATTCCCTGCATTTTTAAATAAAGTTATTTTCTAAGTGGGGAGGGGCTCAAGAATTGGGGCAGGCAGAGAAAAGGGAAAGGGTACAAGAGGGAGAAGAGAAGAAGAATTTGGCTTCTCCTAACTGGATGACTCAGTCTTAAGCCGTATCACATTTGACTTTTTTTTCTTTTTATTCCCTTGTGGTTCAGGGAAGAATAAATTAAGGAGAGAGAGAGAGAGAGAAAAAAAGAAGCCTTACAGTGTTAGCATTTATCTTTCAACAAACAGGAAATGAAAATGATACCATACTAGAAGTCACTTTATGTTATTCATCCTCTGTTCTTTAGTAAGTTATTGAACAGCCAAACTAAAAGATTCTCTAACACATAATGCTAAAGGAATTTAGTGTTCCAAAGTGGCTCAGAACAATTAAAACATTGGGAATGGCATTTTTCTGGAGTTATTTGTTTTTTTTATCTAAGTGTCCTACAGTTTTTTGATGTCAAAGTTAAAAATATTTTTAGATTTTTAAAAACAATATCTTGTTTCAGGGATATCATGGGGCAGGAGGAATTAAGAAATTAATTGTCATTTTTTTAAAAGAAAACAAGAAGTAGTCTGCTATACTGAACAATACAAATTAACGAGTGAGAGGTAACATTTACCAAAAAGCCTGCTGAATATTAATTGTGACTTAATTTGGGGGTAAATGTTGTTGATGTAGCAATTGCAAAGACTAAGTTTAGTAAAAGGAAAATCCAAACCCCCAGCATCAAAAGGAATCAACTCCATATTCCAACCAAAGGCCTACCACGCTGACCTTTTACTGGTCAAAGGTAGTAATCCTAGGCTGCAAACCCATACCTAGAATTTGGATACTAGTCACATCTATCACCTTAGAGGTAACTGCCACAGGGAACATCTTTATAGTTTTTCCATGAGAATACTGCTGAGAGGTTTTCATCCATTTTGAGAATTACCCAGGAACCTCAATTCTATCACTCTAGTTATACTTTTCTAAAAGTTGGGCAAAGTTATGTGAAAAGGCAAAAAATCAACTTTCTGCTTTTGTTTGGTTAGTGTAAACTAATATGTAATATCATACTCTTGGATAAGTTTTAGACTTTTAATCAATTCAGCTCTAACACAAACTGTTTTAACAATTAAAAAAAGAAACCTGCCAAATTCACTTTTTGTTGTTTTAGTCAAAAAAGCTAAACATTTACACCTATTGAAACCACATCCTCTCTCTGTAATGGCTGTCTTGCATTTATAATATTAACTGGTCCTTCAAAAAGCTTTCACATTCTTTACTACTTTTTATGCCATCATCCCATGAGCTCACCAGCCTCATCAATTTTCACAGCATCCTTTCATTATTAAGATGACAATATAATCATTTAATATTACCAAGTATATTCCAGCATTTTCTCTAAAACTGTGAATCTCATGAAAAGCAAAGAAAAGGAGGCTAAGAAATTCAATCCAAAGGTCAACTAAAAATTTGTTTGACACCTTTTTTTTTAAATGATGGGATATCAAAAGGGAATTACTCCTCTAAAAGCTTTCCCAGTGGGTATGGAATGAGTATCTGGCATAACAGGAATGACAACAGGCTACATACACATTAGAGGAAACTGCTTGTGCAGGAGTCATTCTAATTATCAAGTCTGTTTATCAATTCTGTAGAATGACAGCAGACTGAAAATGGTTAAGGGTGTGGGCACAACAATCTCACTGTGCTGTGTTCAAATTCTAGCTCAGTGACTCTGAGCACATTATATAACCTTTTTAAGTATTTAGTTTCTCCTTCTAAATATGGAATAATCATCTCTGAACTCTGAAGGGTTGTTCTGAAGATTAGATGAGCTCCTGCACATAACAGGCTTAGCAAAACGACTTTATGAATGTTAAAAAATGTTCTAATGTTTTTGAAAAGAAAAGTGAAATCAGTATAGTCTATCTAGACTTCTACTGGCTGAGTGTATGTTTGGAATCTGGATCAGCATAACAGGGGTTCAATGGAGTTTGCAGCTGGGTCAACTGGGAAGAGAAATAATTTTGATCTTTTAAAGAATGAAACAGAATGTATAGAACAGATGAATCCCGCTTCTTACGGATTTATGTCTTCGGTTATTAATGTGTCTTCCTCTCATCCTGGGCATACCCCCCCCAGATCCCCCCACCACCCCGCCTGATATAGGTCATCCCCTCTTCTATTACCCCTGGTCTCAAATAGGTTTCAGATAGTCCAGGCTGGGAAAGATCAAAATGTGTGTGTTGCACCAGACCCACTGATCAGTGCCGAAGGCGAGGAGCTCCATTCAACATTCTGAAAGATACAAACTAAGGAGATGAAACTCATTCTTTTAGCAGAGAAGAGGGAATATAGTTTTGGGTTCATTTAACATCATCATTTTCTATGTTGTCAGGAGGACTAATCATTTTAAGGCCAATTTGGCAGTTCTCACTCGTGGGAAACCAAACTCTGCTGAAATAAATGAAGGGTTCTGTATGTGTAAAAATACTAGAATTATTGAGGACAGATAAGAAGAAGGGGCCAAGACACTCATGTGATTTCACAGAGGCAAAGGTTGTGACTATTTCAAGTCCTCTAGTTCTACTCTCATGTTTTATAGTCGGGGAAACTGAGGCTCACAGGGAAAACATACCTGTGGTCAGGGAGCTGGGAAGAGGTAGAAATAAAACTAGAATCCCAGATACTTTCCTACACTAGTGTGATTGTAAGAATCACCTGGGGCAATAACTAGAAACAGATCTTCGTTGTCTCCCTTCCTGCCCCATGCTAGAATTACCAAGGCAAAACCTCCATGGGAGGGAGGGATGGGGATATGGAGTTTTAACAGGCACCTAATTTATGGGTAGGTGAGTTTGGAGTGTTTCCATTCAATAAAGCTCTTCAATTTTTTTTTTTTTTTTGAGTTGGAGTCTCACTCAGTCGCCCAGACTGGAGTGCAGTGTCCGCTCCCGGCTACCGCAGCCTCGCCTGCTGGGCTCTGACAATCCTTCCGCCTCAGCCTTCTGAGTAGCTGGAATTACAGGCGCGCGCTACCACGCCCTGCTGATTTTTTGATTTATTGTAGAGATGAGGTCTCGCTGCCCAGGCGGGTCTCGAACCCACAGGCTCAGGCAATCCGCTCACCTCAGCCTCCCAAAGGCGCGGGATTACAGGCTGAGCCACTGAGCCCAGCTAAAGCTCTTCAATTTAATTGACTGGGTTTCACCTAAACTTGCTGAACCAACATTCCAAAGGAGGGACCTGGAAGTGGGTACTTTTAAATAAAGATCCCAAGTGTCCAAGTTAAATCAGGTGAGTGGGAGATACTACTCTCTGCCATAGATTTAGAATGTCTTAAGCAGTGGCTGTATAGGTTTCCTCAGTAGTTTTGTATACACTGATGATCCAAACAGATTAACTCGGTTTGGGCAGAGTGTGTCCAGTGACTTAGGCAGCACATATCCAATTACACAGGTCTCTAAAGTCCATACTATCAAGAGAAGAAACACAAGGGGAGGTGGGAGGAGGAAGTAGTAACTGGAAGGAGTAGAACTCAAATTCTTCCATCAAACTGAGCATTTACCAAATAATTATTTTTGACTCACTTTATCAAACTATGCTTTCAGAACTCAGCACCAGTGGAAACTTTTAAATGCTTTCTTTCACACCAGCTCCAGCATCCAGGTGGTGGGCAATA